AAATATATACACACACCATGTTCTTTCTATATTAATTAAGTCAAAACAAGAGAAAAATAAATTTTGAGAGTGGAATACATGAAAAGATAAAATACACTTAATAAGAATAAACGTGTTCAATTGCTTCAAAAAAAGAATACACATGTTCAAGTTTCACGATTGCAGAATGGGATAATTAATTATAACTCACAAAAGCTTTGACTAATTATTAATAATATGAAATTAAAAATTCTATAGTGACAAACAGAATTTGGTTTCTTCACATGTTTATTAGAATTGATGTATCTAGATGTGTTGGATACATATTTATCTTTCCAAGTTCTCTGAGAACGTGAAGTTCATGACCAGACATGAACATACCGGTTATTGGTTAACCGATAATAACATATTTCTAAAACCGTAACCGTACCGCGAACCGTTTATTCTCACGGTTGGTTAACCGTACCGTGGATTTAAAAAATTGCGGTTCGGTTAACCGGGAAAAACGACGGTTTTCCGGTTTTTAGGCGCGATTATACGGTTACGGTTTTTTATGCCCACCCCTAGCCACCATGTATGCCCTCAATTGGAAATTTCGGTGTTGGTGCAATTAAAAGGTCACCAGATAAATTCGCCCTTCTGTCAATTTCTTCCCCAGCCAGATGAATCCCTAACTCCATCGGAAAAAGGTCGTCGGAAACTTCTGTGTTGTGGTCTGCAATTTATAATATGAGAACCAAAAAGTGATGTATGATGAATATACCGCAAAATATAAATATTTCCTTATGATATTATTTAATACTATATATGTATCGTATTAGTTAAACATGACAATTTATACACTATTTATGTACTTTACTTTGACTATATCTTATTTATTAATATATGTGAGTTATTTTTTTTTGAAAAATATTGTTGAATTCATTTCATTACTAAGTTTCAAAAATCTAATTTTTACTTTTTTAACTAATATAGAATTAAATATAATAACTGTCAATGTTGTGTGTTGACAAACGTGAAAAAAAGAATGTTGTAACTAAAAACAACGGATGAAGTATATGTATTTTATACTTTTAGCTTGTATTTTGTGGGTCTGGGATGCACGTATGACATCTTACTGGGTGACGTGGCGGTGAATGGATTATTACTTACAAAAAATGAGATTTGAACTTTTTGGTCGAGTTCAAGGTGCGGATGAGAACTGTTTTGAGTTCAAGAGAAAATTGAGCATTCCAAACACATATAGAGCTCTATTTGACAATTTAGCCCTCTTATATCTCTTTACATTCTTATATTGTTTTTATCTTGTACGCAGTGTTTATCTATATCTTATTCATTTACTTTATCGTTTTGTTCTTCTTATCTTTTTCTATTTTAACCATAATATTATAATTTGATTCATATCAGGGATTCCAAAATCTTTGAGGAATAAAACTTAGAATGCCGTTGTTTGTAACTAACATTCTACTTTCATTATGTATTTCCTCGGTTCCTCCAATCCTTTTAATAAAATTTGGTTTATAAAAATATTCATTCCTTGTGAAAGAGAAATTGGATTATCCGGATAGATAGACAAATTTGGGATGATTTCCCAAAATACGGGAATAGTTAACGGGAGGTGCCAAATTACGGGGATAAAATTAGGGTTTCCAAAAATACGGGAGTCGGATTGCCCTCTTCCGACTAGGGGAAGGGTTTGAAAAAATTTAATTGACTTCTGCTGTCGGATTACCCTATTCCGACTGTGGCATTTCAAAAATTAAAAAAAAAATCTCTTGTTGGAAGAGCAAATTCCGACTGGGGCATTTAAAAAACAAAAAAAAAAATCCTTAGTTTGAATAGCCAATTCAGATACCATATACTTCCTCCGTTCTTAAATAAATGCAACAGTCATCATTTCACACTTGCCGAGACACAACTTTGACCATTAATATAAATGATTTTGTATTAGTAAAAAAAATAAAAAAAATTAGATTATGAAAATTTACAATGAGACAAGTTTAACAATATTTTTTTCATAAAATAATATTATTACATTAATAAATAAAACGTAGTAAAATTAGAAAATGTGAATAGTGTAAAAGTCAAAGTGTTGCATTTATTTAAGAACGGAGGTAGTATATATATTTTAGAAATGTTAGACCCATCCCTGGGTCAAGTTGCAAGCTACGGTGCGGAAAGAAATTAACGTGGGACCCAAAAAAAATGTTTTAAAAGTTGTTGTAACTTTTTATTTATACTTCAAATTTTACAAAAAAAAATATTAAAATGCATAAATTTTTATCATCTTTCATATGATACCAATATTGTATATATTTTTTAAAATATAAATTTCAAACATTAAAATTTTAAATCGATATAACTTGTACGGTATTATATAAAAAATTATACTAACTCCGTCTTACTTAACTTTGTCAAGTTATTGTTGGGTGTGAAATTAGAATAGTAAAAATTGTGTGATTGACGTTTGTGTAGTGGAGAAAGAAAATGAACATATATGTTTTTCATTAGAAGGAAAGTGATACTTTTTTTGGGACAAACAGAAAAAGAAAGTTGGTCCAATGAGACGGAGAGAGTAAATTTTACTGACTTGTAAAATTATGAATAGTTGGGAGTTGGTATATATGGAGTATCATTATTTTCAAAAATGAATGGTTGAGAAGGAGACTTAATTATTACTTCATCCGTCCCGCTAGAAGGTTACCATTTACGGTTTACAATGCTTGATTGACGATGAAACAACTTAATCCATGTTCACACTCTGATTATGTTTAGTAAATAAAATTAACATATTCAAAAACTACAGTAAAACCGCTACAAAGCCTGATAAAAAAATGTAAATTTGACAAAAAAATGATTTATAAAGTAAAATATTAAAAATGATTTAAGTTGAACATGTGAATAATGGACGAGAATCTTCTAATGGGACGGAGGTAGGATTGTTTTTTATGTTAGGAGTTATAAATCTTATTCCAATTATTATGGACAGAATGTGGAAAAGCAAAAGCTCCGAATTACCCATACAAATTTGGCATGCCACATTTATTTGCTTTTAATCAGTCGGAATTGGCAATTCCGAGTAGAAGCGTTCAATAATTAATATGGCTTGGCCGAAAGTTTATCCAAATGTTTAAAAATTTATCACTCTTTTAAATTTAAAACTTTATCCAAATCTTTTTTAAAGTTTACTTGGGAAAAAAATTAACTCCTGTCGGATTTAAAAGTTCCCACTGCAGGAGTTTGATCTTATATTTTATTTCATTATATTTTATTTATTATATTTTATCTAATTAGTTTTATCTGATTATATTTATTTTGATACAATTTTATCTGATTATATTTTATATCATTAATTTTATCTAAATATGTTAAGTAAATCATTGTCAATTTTACAACTCGTGTTCATCATATAGGCTGATTACATTTCAAATGATTGTATTTCTATTGGGTCGAATAGGGGTATTTATGATCCGGGTCTAAAAATGTGAATCACAAGTGCGAATATTAAAATGTCATCTATATATTAAGTAATTCGTGGTCAATTTCACAATTCATGTTCATAATATATGCTAATTGCATTTCAGAAGATTGTATCCTTACTGGGTCGAATTAGGGTTTTTATGATCCGGGTCTAAAAAATGTGAATCACAAGTGTTAATATTAAATTGTCATCTATATATTAAGGAACTCATGGTCAATTTCACAACTCGTGTTCATGATATAGGTTGATTGCATAAAATTCGAATGATTGTACCCTTATTGGGTAAAATTGGAGGTTTATGACCCGGGTCTAGAAAAATGTGAATCACAAGTATTGATATTAAAATTTCATCTATATGTTAAGTAAATCATTGTCAATTTTACGACTCGTGTTCATGATATAGGCTGATTACATTTCAAATGATTGTATCCCTAATGGGTCGAATAAGAGTTTTTATGATCCGGATCTAAAAAATGTGAATCACAAATGTGAATATTAAAATTTCATCTATATATTAAGTAACTCGTGGTCAATTTCACAATTCGTGTTCATGATATATGCTAATTGCATTTCAGAAGATTGTATCCTTACCAGGTCGAATTGGGGTTTTGATGATCCGTATCTAAAAAATGTGAATCACGAGTGTTAATATTAAATTGTTATCTCTATATTAAGGAACTCGTGGTCAATTTCACAACTCGTGTTCTTGATATAGGCTGATTGCATAAAATTTGAATGATTGTGCCCTATTGGATCAAATTGTAGGTTTTATAATGTGGCACATAAAGTATTGAATTTTGGGTCACTTTATTTTTGTGCAGATATGGTTGGATAGAATATTGAATTTTGATTGAATTATATATGATAAAATTTTATCTGATTCATTTTATCTAATTAAATTTTATCTTATTATCAATTTTATCTAATAAATACTTCTAACGTTATGGTTTACATAAAACAAAATTTATCTCGAATATAAAATTTCTTAAAATAACAATTTAATTTATAAAATTTAATTTATAAAATTTAATTTATAAAATTTAATTTATAAAATTTCTTAAAATAAAACAAAATATATGTATTTTCAAATATAAAATTTTTAAACAACATCCCTAGTCTGATGTGGGCTATCCGACAGTTTTTTTTTTGTTTTTATTTATTTATTTTATTTTTTATTTCTTTTGATTACACATTATTAAACATTAAAAAAATTCAAACACCCCTAGTCGGATTACACAGTTCCGACTAGGTTTTTTTTTTTTTTTTTTTTTTTTTAATTCATTGGGATCAAACAAATAATGGAAACAAAAAATTCAAACCCCCTAGTCGGATTCCACAATTCCGACTAGGTACTCTATAATTTGGAAGGCCTCCCTAGTCGGATTTGACAAATCCGACTCCCGTAATTTGGTAACCTAATTGCAAGTCCCGCAATTTGGATTGTCAGACGGGAAAACCCCGTATTTTGGTAATTTCCTCACAAATTTGCATACATAACTCCAATAAATAAAAAAGTTATGTCTTGAGGTTCTGACTCTCCCAGAATTTACTCTCCCATTGCTCTACTTGCTGTATGGTAGAAGCTTTCTGTCTATGCAACGTATCCAGCTCTGACTCATAGAATGGAATGGGAAGGAAACATGGGTTTGTGACTGCCGGTCCATGGATCAGAGATTCTAGCATCAGTTCCTTCTCTAATCCTTGTGCAGGGCAAGCCATTAGCTCAGAGCAAAGTTCTCTGCCGTTTTGAGGTATTCTGGGCTTGTACCTTAGCAGCTTAGCATATTGGTTCAACAGATGAAACATGTAATCATACACAAACCCCATCTTTAGTTCCTCTTCTATGAAAGCACTTGCAGCGCTGCCCATTTCCTGCGCCTAGTTTTTATTTACACATTTTATGGACAAGAAGTTTCAGTCAATATCACACATTTTCTGTTTCACTGTTTGGTAGCTAAAATCTGTTTACTGTGTTTAACTGTTTATCGTCATAATCGCATAGTAAGTGTAGTAACTTTTGTGCTACTAGTACTTGTTTCATTTATTGGCTGATATTGATCCTACCAACTTATTTTCATTCTGGAAGGATAATATTTTAAAGAAAATTATAGAAGGAATTTGGAAGGATAATGCAAGTGAGGAAAATAAACATGGATTCAAATTCAAAAGCTTTATGTTCATTATTTGCTAAAGTCCATTTTGTTTTGGAAATTACGGCAAACAAGAGTAAAACATAAACGCAGTTCAAGAATAGGACTAGTTAGGTTTTACCCCAATGGGACTTAATTAGCCATGATAAAAGAATAAAAGTAGTTTAGGAGTGAATGAGTCATGTTTGAGAAAGAATTAATGATGGTCTTATTTAAGGAAATATGTTATGCCTTAGTCCTATTTAGGAAAATTTATCTTCATATTTAAGATTTATTTCTATAATATAAACACTAAAAATCTAAGCATATGCAAAAACAACTTAGATGATAGTCTGTAGTTCATTTTCCTTTGCATTTTCTTAGGCAAAACCAAATACTCCGTATTAGATTATAACTATCTGTAGCATTTTCTGGTATCCAAACATAGAAAGTTCTAACAAAACCACCAAAGATGCTCTCATACAGTCAAATTTTAGTTTACATTATTCAAATTAAAGCAGTACAGTACCTTTTTCTTGTGGCTATTGCCCCAATCAACAGCAAACTTAATTGATTTGCATGTGTCACTTTCCCTAATAGGCCAGTAATGGTGTACTGGTTTCAAACTTCTTGAGAAGAAATCATAGTAATGTGGCCTTACTAATAATGTGACTGAATTGCATGCCAGAATATACTTTTCGCTCACAGACCATGCAGATCCTTCAATATAAATTTTATACCTGCAAAAATATTAAGAAGGATCCTAGTTAAAAAGTCTTCCTATGTTCCACAAGAATACTCAAATTTTAACGTATATAATTAAGTGGCCAAAACTTCCAACCTATGTTTACATTGCCCCGCCAAGCCCGAATCGTTGTATCCTTGTCCAGATGCTTTGTCCCAGTCCTGTGACCACATTCTTCAATCTATTTGAAAGTCGCAAACATAAACTGAGAAATTATTCTTGGATACAACAGTGAATTGTTTTGCTTACCTGTGTGTAAACACGAGCACTCCAGTCCTGATTATCAGAGACATTGCACTTGAGGAGGTTCATCCTTTTCTCAGTGACTTTAGGATTACCTTTCCAGTAAGCATAAGGCTCCCTATCTAACCATCTTACCTTTTTATTCCCCTCAGTTAGGTCCTTTTGCAAGACCTCCCATGGCCTTAAGTTGACTTCAGGCCTACCAATTTATCATAGCCGAATATAGAAAAATTACTTTCGACTTTGTGGGTGCCCAATACTTACTTGTATTGAATGCTTAAAGTAATAAGTTTTGCACTTCCATATGTTAAGTTAAGCATAAGGTTAGGCCTAATTTAGTTTCAAAAGTTTTCTCAAGTGGTAAGAGCCTAACGTGTGTTAACGAGTCCAACATCTATTAATGAGTTCATTCATTCATATCTAGTCTAGTTCAATTTCAAAAAAGTTCTCAAAATATAATAGAGTCCAACACCTACTAAAGGGTTCATTCATTCATATTCATATTTACCCTGATTCTGTTCCAAAAGAGTTCTCAAAAGATAATAGAGACCAACACCTATTAAAGCGTCCATTCACATTTAGCCTAATTCAATTTCAAAAAGAGCTACAACAACAAACAACAACATTACCCCAGAGCTAAGAGGTAAATATCGAATGCCTACTAATGAGTTCATTCATTCACATTTAGCCAAAGAAAATCCCTTCTTAATAAGGTAGTTACCATCCCCAGAAGGACCAATCAGGGAAAACAATATCCAAGGTCTCATCATCCCCACAATATCGGAACAATGGTGGTGGAGCGGGAGAGTCGGGCTCAAGATAATCACTTGATTTGATTACGGGCCAATCTACACAATCAAACATGAGGTCAACATCAGCCACCTTACCGGGGTACCTTCTTAACAACTGTAGAATGCCCCATAGAGTAAAAATGTCTCTAGTTTGAAAAGCCTTTTTATATGTCTCTACATATGCCCTCCCATTCAATATTACTAGCCTGAAATTGGCTGTCTTGTTGGCTCTCTCAACCATTTCTCTAGTTATCCCGGTTTCCTTCCACGGCTTTAAATCTTCATAGATCCAACGGAAGTAATGTGGGCAATTATGAGCTATTGATGGAGGCGTTTCATTAGGAATTTCATTGTCTGGTGGGTAGTAATCTTTTGGGCATGTTCGTGTGTGGCTCCCAGATAAGCAATTCAATGGAAATTCCCGGGCTCGGGTAAGATTTTCCTTATTTACCTTCAAAATTGTAGCCAAAACAATAGAAGGAAATAGTTAGCTCACTGTCAAGACATACAAAATCTCCTCTTAATCAACTAACAAAAGAGTGATAACACAAATTCCTCCAACCGAATTTAACCGTTGTTAAGTCATCCACATTGACAATTTATAAATGCACAAACCAATATATACGTATCATACTAACCGTCTAGAATGGAACTGTAAATCTTAAGAGTCCCAAGGTCCTTTAATTAATGTCCAGTTTAACATGGCACAGGGTTTAGGAAAGTGAAAACTACTATGATTTTGGAACGGGCCAAGAAGGAAAGTATACTGATAATTTAGGCTTATCAAAGCATATTAATCACAAATGAGCAATTCAGAACTGAAAAGGAAAAGCATAATGAAAAACTTGTGACAGTAATACCAATAATGTAGAATCTAGTGTAGAATGAACTGTACAATTAGAAAACTTACATCTTTAGTTGCACCTAGCATGACTGCCCATAAGTACAAAAAGAACCCAAGGAGAATGAAGAAGGTAACAGCTGAAATTACAATATTGGGCTTGTTTCCAATACATGGAAACCAGAATCTCTCTGAAAGATTATGTCTGTCGCTGCCATGCCTTTGATAACCCTGTGTGCTTTTCTGCATTTGTATTTTCCCACTGCCTTTATGGGGCTAGTTTGTCTCCTCAAAGGACCTTAGAATGACCATTAAAACACATTCATAAATGCAAGTAACAATACTTTACTTGCATGTCTGGAATTGCCATTATAATGTTAAAAATGAGATTGAGCCCAACTAACCTCCAAAGAGCTTGGCCAATCAATTGTTAAGGGCAGTTTCTTCTGATTCTGCTAGCTGGAATACCACATTATGTATTTGATTAGCTGCTTTCCTTCCTCCATCTAGTTTGATCCTTGGATCCATACATACCATAGAAAATCCAAAAATGAGCTATTTTACCTTTTGTAAAACAAAATTGCATATTTACTTAATTTTGGGAACTATTCAAAAAAAGTACATTCATGTTTTGCAGATCTTTTTCTCCGCGTGTGGGAAAAAATGGCCAGATGTTTTTATGGTTACCCAGAAATCCTTAACTAGAATCTTGGGTTGTGCTGCTTTATAGGCTACTAAAAAAAAGGGAGTAAAACGTACAGTAAAAAAAAGTTGTATCATGCAATTAATTAATTTTCCTTTTCAACAAGTAATTGTATTACCTACGAGTACTTCTTAATTAATTAATGCAATTTCTTGATCAAGCTGTTTCATTTTATTCACCTAATTAGGATCTCATTTTTTAATTATATTCTAATTTGGGGTCGCAATTTTGAAGAGATTTTAATGTGATTTATGAATATGAAAATTTTAATTATTAAACATTGAATTAGTTATCAATAGGAAAGATTTAACTTCGACAAAAAAATGTTAACTTTGCAACTCAATTTGGACAGAAAAGGGTATTTGACAATAAAAGAAAAGAAAAGGGGCAAATAAGCCCTCGAACTATTTGCGATTTTGCAATTAGGCCCATGATCCGGAAAATTTGCATACACACTCCTCAACTCTTTGAAAATTAAGCAATTATATCCTTTTTATCTGTTGGTGTCGGTAATTTCTCATCTCTTTACTTGCACCGACAGGTAAAAAGGATCTTATTGCTTAATTTTCAATGAGTTGAATGATGTATTTACAAGTCTTTCGATTCAGAGGTTTGATTGGAGAATCGCAAATAGTTCGAGAGTTTATTTGTCTCTTTTAAGATTTCTTGAACCAACGTATGTAGATCTCACTCCCTGTCTGGTTGAGACGTCAAATCAACGGTATGGATTTTTTTGATTCTTTTGACGAATGCGGTTAGTTAGCATTGAATAAGCAACGGCAGCTTATTCAAGCATTGCGCAGCGCAGATTGACACTTGCAAAAGGCTAGAGTGCTACACGTTGCAGTCTACAGAAATCTAAATAGTGAGAACAACACCAACTCCGATCGTTCAACACTAACTCCCGTCATTCACTCCTTCGATAACACTAAAATCGGTTGAATCGATTGATTTTGATGAAATTTACGAAGTTTTGGTCGAAGTGACAGAATTGACTGATTCTGCTAATTTATGAAAAAATTAAATTTAAAATTTATTTTATTAATAAAATAAAGAAAAATAACTAAAATGATCCACTGCAGTAACTTCAGCGCGCGAAATCAAAAACTACGTCTTTGGTGAAAAAGTAGGTTGATAAGTCTGATAAGCCGAAAAACGATGTTACCAAACGGGCTCTTAATTTTGCCAAATTAAGGTTAATGTGAAACTAAAATACTACTCTCGTTCCTTAAAACTTTCAACTTTCCATTTTTTATTGTTGCACTAACTTTGTCAGTTTTCCTTTTAAGTAAAGGATTTGTGGTTCCAGTTAATTCTCTCTCCTCTGCACAAACCTCAACCATATAGTTTTTATTTTATTAATCTGTGAGCCGATCAAACTTGGTAAAGTTTTAAGGAACAGATGAAGTACTAAAAACTGTGGAATTAAGATTTGTGCAGAGAAAGAGAAATGAACACAACCACAAATTCATTACTTAAAAGAAAAGTGACAAAATCTTTTGTGATAAATAAAAAAGAAGTTTGTAAAGTCTAATGGTGTAACACCCCGATTTTTTATGAGCTAGTTATTTTAATAATTAGTTATTATTTATTTTAGTCAATTAAATAAATTACTTCTATAAATAATGTGGAATTCTTTTACCATGTGATGTTTGTGCCAGGTAACGTTGACCAGTAAGCTCCAACAATTTTAAGTGAAGAAATAATTAATAGTATTGATTTTATTAGTTTATCTTGAAAGTTTGAATATAATTTTCAGTTTGAGCCAGAAGCATTTTTTAAAGACTTAGAAACCCAAATCAATTATCTTGGCCCCAATCAGTATTTGGTTTTAAAACCCTGATAAGAGATACTACCTCCGTTTCTATTTGTTTGACATAGTTTGACACTTTGACTTGTCAAGGATTAATGAAAAAATGTTACTGAGGGGTAAATTTTACCGTAGATTACATTGTTTGACACTGTTTGAACACTGTTTGACACTGTTAGAACACTATTTGGCACTGTTTGAACACTGTTTGGCAATGTTTTGCACTATTTGGGTAAAGATTTGTTTACGAAATAAGGAAATAAGGAAGTGTGACATTCATTTTGAAACATCCAAAAAAGAAAAGTGTGTCAAACAAATAGAAACGGAGGTAGTACTTATTTATATACTATCACTCGTAAACCCTTGGTCAGCTCTTTTCTTCTCCGCCTTTGAAACCTTTTGTTCGTTCCCTAGGGTTATTATGACAAAACATTTCTAATTTTTATTCTAGTAAATAATGATTTGAGTGAAGAGCTTATTGGAAGATGTTATCAAGGTGCCACACTTGATTGAGTGAGTATTTTGAGTTCAGCTTTTAACAGGTAAGTTCACTACTACATGTACATGTTTGTTCAACCAAATGAAAGAAAGAAGTCTAGTTTATTTTTAGTAGATGATTTTCGACTATTTGCTATTATGTGAGCTTGGTGAATTATTCGATGAGTTATTTTAATTGTTGTATTAAATTATGTTTATTATCTGGCATAGTCGAGATTATGTCAGTATTAAATTATGTTTGTTATCCAAAAGTCACCATAAAAAGAATTAATAATTAAAGTGAAAGATTAAGTGATATGTACTCGGGAACACGTTCCCATAGAGTTATCAGATCAGTTTCAGAGAATCTGATATGTTTAGTGGGTCGCTCCCCTGAACTGTCGGATTGGCGCCTTGAGTACTTATCACGGGCCCACATAGTTAAAATTAACCATAAGGAGTTTTACAAAAAGTTTATGAGATCTCTTTCAGAAAGCTTTACAGAAATGTTTTGAGAAAGTACTACTTTTGAGATCTCTTTCGGAATCTATTTGAGAAGTTATTTGTGAAGCATTTGTTAGGTGCATGCTTATAGTCTAAATTTATCTATTGATAAATTGACATAGACTTCTAAATATTTTTTTGTGGATCCATAGTGACTTACTAAGCGCAAAACTTATCAGTTTTCTTTCTTCGCATGTACAGATACTAAAGGTAAGGCCAAGGCCTAGGAAGTTGATGAGAGAGTGGAATGTGTGCCGAAATGAGTTAACGGGAACGACCTTGGCGGCTTCTAGCTAGTGATTATTTTATTTAAGTATTTCAGATGTTATAATAAAGTGACTATTATTACTTTATTTTATTTGAGGATTTGAAGTTTGAATAAATTCCTAGATTCATGTTGTTATCACATTTGCTGGTGATAACTAGATTTATTGAGTTTTTATTTGGAGTTATATTTTAGTTATATTTGAGATTTTATCAGGGTTATTTCTTAAACAAACGGTCGTTATATTGCAGTTTTTTAAGTAGTAAGTTTAAGTAACGTTTCCTTTAACCCTGAGAGGGGCGTTACAAATTTGGTATCAGAGCCCAGGCCCATGTTGTCACGTAACTTCATTAGTCACCATACACGTGCTCATCATCTTTCAAGTAAGTATTTAAAGTTAGTTTTAAATTTCTGTGCATGAGGAATAAGAGTTTATTAGATAGAGAACATAAGTGAGAATGTTTTGCCATTTTGTATTGTGTATGGCACATAAATAAAAGTTTATATGTAGGTGCCTTAAGAAAATGAGGAGAACCCGTGATCGTCCAGTTGGTAGCAGCAATGCGCAAGGAAACAATAATGAGCAAGGAAACAATCACGAGCAGGATCGGATTTGGCAGGATTAGTAGCGCAACTTCAGAGGCAGTTGCAGGAGCAGCAACAAACCATCGACCGTTTGACCGCGAACAATCAAAGACGCGGTGGTGAAGGGGAAATGGTGAAAACAATCATGCTAGGGGGAATGGAGCACCGAGACAAGAACCTTTGATGATCACATGGAGGAAGATCAAGCCCGCGGATCTTGAGGGGGGTCCCGACCCTCTAGCCGCTCAGGGATGGCTGAAGACCGTGGAAGGCATTGCTAATGGGTTGGAACTAGCAGATAATGACAAGGTTCGATGCGCATCATATAGCGTCACCATGAATGCTCGAATATGGTGGGAGACTGTGGAAACAAGGTACAACATTGTGCAGATGGCATGGGAGCAGTTCAAAGAGGAGTTCACCAACCAGTATTTCAATACTTGTGTCACACGTAGGTACCAGTATGAGCTTCAGAGTCTACGCCAGGGAACCATGGATGTTACAACCTTTGCGGCAAAATTTCAGAGGCTACTTACTACGTATTTCTCCTACAGCTGCCTCGACAGAAAGAGATAAGGTGAGGTCTTAGGAAGGATATAACAACTCACTTGGAGAATGACAATCAGACTCCAGCTACACTAGCTGACTGTGTTTTTATAGCAACTCAGAAGGAGTATTGCATCTCCAGCGATCCAGTACCCGCTCAGCCACAACCTGTGCATTCACAGTCACAGAATCAGTCACAACGACACACGAACAATTCAAAGAGTAACAAGAAGAGAAACTTTACGAGTAATAATGGCAAGGGAGCTGGTCACCATCAGGGACACCAGAATAAACAAATGAAGTTCCCGTCTTGTGCTAGATGTGGTCGTAACCATCCAAGCCAATGCAGATTGGGTTCCAGAGGTTGCTACTCTTGCGATCTTGAGGGCCACATATCCAGAGAATGTCCAAGAAAGAGTCAGCAAGGCTATCAGTTTGTTCAGACATCAGGGAATTCAGTACCTTCAGCGGCTGTCCATAATATGCAGGCTTATCTAGAAGGACCATCCATCCAGCAAGGACGTATGGAGGCACCACCAGAGGCCCCGGTTGCTAGAGTGTTCACCATCTCAAAAAAAGAGGCATCGATAAATCCCAGTGGTGTCACAGGTCAGATACTTGTTCTTAATAGATATGCTAATGTGCTATTTGACACTCGAGCCACACATTCATTTGTATCTCTTGAGTTTGCTAGATCCTTAGCAGCACATCAAGATAAGTTAGATTATAAGTTCACCACAGCACTTCCGTCAGGAGAGATCATGTTATCGACTCATTGGTTACGAGCAGTGCCAATGAGTATTGCAAGGAGAGAGTTATTTGTGGATCTGATCGTGCTCAATATGAGAGATTATGACGTGATTCAATATGGATTTTCTGCATAAGTATAGTGCTTCAATTATATGTCGAAAAAGAATTGTTGGTTTTGCGCCTGCAAGGTCTGATCCTTTCTTGTTTCTTGGGGAGCCAAAAGGATCAGGGAAGGTGATGATTTCTGCATTGGAAGCAAGGAGACTTATTCGGAGTGGATGTGAAGCTTTCTTAGCTCACATAGTAGACAAGAGCACTGGAGAACCCATTCAGTTATCTGAAGTTCCAGTTGTGGAGGGTTACAGTGATGTTTTCCCCTAAAACCTTCCTGGACTACCACTGAGTAGAGAGATTGAGTTCGAGATTGAGCTGCTGCCCGGTACTTCACCGATATCGAGAGCACCATATCGAATGGCCCCACCGGAGTTACAAGAACTCCACAAGAAGTTGCAGGAGTTGCTAGAGAAGGGTTTCATTCGGCCCAGTTACTCACCGTGGGGAGCTCCAGTATTGTTCGTCAAGAAGAAGGATGGCACAATGAGGTTGTGCATAGATTATAGAGAGCTCAATAAAGTAACTATCAAGAATAGGTATCCCCTGCCTAGAATTGATGACATGTTTGACCAGTTGAAGGGAGCGGTGATTTTCTCCAAGATTAACCTTCGTTCAGGGTATCATCAACTAAGAATCAAAGAAGGAGACATCCCAAAAACAGCTTTCAGGTCACGGTATGGACACTATGAATTTGTGGTTATGCCTTTCGGCCTAACTAATGCTCCAGCGGCGTTCATGGATTTAATGAATAGAGTGTTCAAGGAGTTTCTTGACAAGTTTGTCATTGTTTTCATTGGTGATATTTTGATCTACTCAAAGTCCCTGGAGGAGCATGAAAAACACTTGAGAGAAGTACTTGAGACACTTAGAAAACATAAGTTATATGCTAAGTTTTCAAAGTGTGAGTTCTGGCTTGATCATGTAGCATTCCTTGGCCACGTAGTTTCAAAGCAGGGAGTTTTGGTGGATCCCTCAAAAGTAGCAGTTGTCTGAGATTGGAGCAGGCCGAAGAATGCGAAAGAAGTTTGAAATTTCTTAGGCCTTGTGGGGTATTATAGGAAGTTTGTGGAAGGCTTCTCTGCTATAGCTCTTCCATTGACTACCTTGACCCGTAAGGGTAAGAAATTTGAGTGGAATGATCGTTATGAGAAGAGTTTCCAAGAGCTGAAAGATAGGTTGACATTTGCACCCGTTTTAGCACTCCCAGAAGGCAAGGAAGGGTTTGTTATCTACATAGACGCATCGAAGATGGGACTTGGATCACTTCTTATGCAGAATGAACGAGTAATTGCTTACGCGTCTCGGCAACTCAAAAACTATGAAGCGAATTATCCTACCCATGATTTGGAGTTGGCAGCGGTGATACATGCGTTGAAGATTTGGAGACATTACTTGTATAGAGTCCAGTGCAAGATCTTCACTGATCACAAAAGTCTAAAATACATATTCACACAGAAGGACCTCAACATGAGGCAAAGAAGGTGGCTTGAGCTAGTGAAACACTACGATTGTGAGATCCTTAATCATCTGGGGAAAGCCAACAAGGTAGCAGATGCACTTAGTAGGAAGTCTTCTGCAACAATAATGTCTATGATGGTAATGGATCCAAAGTTGAGGAAGGAAATTGAAGATTTTGAGTTGGAGATTGTAGATGGGCGACTAGCAGCTATGACAATGACTCCATCAATATTTGAGGACATGACTATGAAGCAAGAACTTGATCCCGAGTTGGTTAAATTTAAGGAGTGCGTCAAGGAGGGAAAATGTCCCGAGTTTCGTTTGAATGAGAGTGGGAGATTATTACTCCAAAACTGGTTGTGCATCCCGGACATTGAGGGGTTGAGGAAGCAGATTATGAAGGAGGCTCATGAGACACCATTCACTATGCATCCTGGTTCGACCAAGATGTACCATGACTTGAAGAAAAACTTGGTGGTCAGGGATGAAGAAAGATGTTGCAAAGTTCGTTCAGTCATGTTTGACGTGTCAACAAGTTAAGGCCGAACATCAAAGACCAGGTGGAGAAGTTCAGCCTATCCAGATTCCGGAGTGGAAATGGGATGACATATCAATGGACTTTATTATGGGTTTACCGAAGACAACTGGAGGTTATGACGCTCTATGGGTTATAGTGGACAGATCGACTAAATCCGCTCATTTTATCCCAATTTCAGCAAGTATTTCTTTGGAGAAGTTGGCAAGAATATATATACAGGAGATTGTTAGATTACATGGTGTTCCGAAGAGCATTATTTCTGACAGAGATTCCAGGTTTACGTCTCACTTTTGGAAGTGTGTACAACAATCATTGGGCATGAAGTTGAAGTTTTGTACCGCTTTTCATCCTCAGACAGATGGCTAGACAGAGAGAACAAATCAAATCTTGGAGGATATGTTGCGGACATGCGCTCTAAATTTTCAAGGAGGATGGGCAAAATACCTTAGTTTGGCAGAGTTTGCTTATAATAATAGTTATCAAGCAACAATAGGCATGGCCCCATATGAGGCGTTGAATGGGAGGAGGTGTAGATCTCCCATATCATGGTATGAAATAGGAGAAAAGAAGGTTCTAGAAGAGGAGTTACAAGGAATGACTGAGTTGATTGATGAGACCTTAGAAGCTATTAAGACTATCAGACAAAGGATTTAATTTGCTCAGTGTAGACAGAAAAGTTATGCAGATGTTCGGAGGAGACCTCTAGAATTTGAAGTGGGGGACTTTGTTTTCGTTAAGATAGCCCCGATAAAGGGTGTGATGCGGTTTGGAAAGAAAGGAAAGCTTAGCCCCAGATTCACCAGACCATATGAGATCACTAGACGAGTTGGGAAGGTAACTTATGAGCTCGCGCTACCATTCATAATGTCTTTCATGTTTCGATGTTGAGGAAATACTTTGTTGATCCGGAGCATGTTTTAGTATACCCCCCACAGTAGAAGTGCAAAATGATTTGTCTTACGAGGAGAAGCCAGTACAAATTCTTGTGAAGGTGTTGTGGCGAAATAAAGAGATAGCTCTAGTGAAGGTGTTGTGGCGAAATCACAAAGTTGAAGAAGCTACTTGGGAAGTGGAGGATGACATGAGACGTCGTTATCCCGACTTGTTCTAAGTTTCTAGGACGAAACTTTTATAAAGTGGGAGGGGTTGTAACACACCGATTTTTTATGAGCTAGTTATTTTTAATATTTAATTATTTTTTATTTTAGTCAATTAAATAAATTACTTCTATAAATAATGTGATATTCTTTTAGCATGTGATGTTTGTGGCAGGTAAAGTTGACCAGTAAGCTCCAACAATTTTAAGTGAAGAAATAATTAATAGTATTGATTTTATTAGTTTATCCTGAAAGTTAGAATATAATATTCAATTTGAGCCAGTTAGAATATAATATTCGGTTAGAAACCCAAATCAATTATCTTGGGCTGAATAAGTATTTGGTTTTAAAACTCTGAGAAGAGATAGTTATTTATATACTATCACTTGTAAACCCTTGGTCAACTCTTTTCTTCTCCGCTTTTGAAATCTTTTGTTGGTTCCTTCCCTAAGCAATCGGTTCTCTTCTTCCCTTTCTCTACGAATACCTGGTATGTCAAAAGTTTACTCCCATAAACTGCTTTCTTTATGTCATGGACGGCATGACAGAATTGCTTTGGTTAAATGTTTTTTTCATTAAGTTAAACTAATTTGGGTTTTGTACGATGTACATGCTAGGCATTGATTTGGAACATTTTTGTTTTCTTTTAGATGTTTAAATTCCTTTTAGGTTATTTTTTTTAAAGCTGGGTAACTAAAGTTCTTAAAGTTTTAATCTCCAAATTTTCTAAGAATCTAAGATTAGGACGTTTAATTTGACCAACCCGATTCTTTTGGTTTCAAACTGATATTTTGGGAGGTTTCGCAGACAGTTAAGAGTTTATTAAAGGTGTTCTTATAAATTGATTATTTTTCCACTATTTTATTCTTTCAATTTAATTCGTTTTACCATTACGGTGGAGCAGCCATAATTTAACTTTAAATCTTTTCTTGAGTTGCTAACCTTCTAAAAAGCATATTGAATAAGTATTTCTTTTCACCTCCATTGAAGTCATACAAGTGTAAAAATATTTTGAGGTTCCTTTAAACCAACTTATCTTGGACATATAGTCAATTAGTAGGTCCTTTCGTGAGGTCAGTCCTGAGATTGCAGAAGGCTCAATTTTTGTTCTTATTGGTTTAATTGTTTTTTTTTAAACTATGAAACTGATATGGGAAGTTAAAAGGCAAGACTGCTACTATTTCAATTAGTAAAATCTGTTATACTACGTATTTATTAGTAAGTGTATGTCACCCATTGTTTAGTTAACACACATATATCGAAAGATTACCCAGGCTTATTATGACAAAACATTTCTAATTTTTATTATAGTAAATAATGATTTAAGTGAAGAGCTTACTGGAAGACGTTATCAAGGTGCCACACTTGATTGAGTATTTTGAGTTCAGCTTTTAACAGGTAAGTTCACTACTACATGTACATGTTTGTTCAATCAAATGAAAGAAAGAAGTCTAGTTGATTTTTAGTAGATGATTTTCGACTATTTGCTATTATGTGAGCTTGATGAATTATTCGATGAGTTATTTTAATTGTTGTATTAAATTATGTTTTTTATCTGGCATAGTCGAGATTATGTTAGTACTATATTTCAAGATTTTAATGATGTTTTTAGTCAAACGTCACCATAAAAAGAATTAATAATTAAGTGAAAGATTAAGTGATATGTACTCGGGAACAAGTTCCCATAGAGTTATTAGTTATCAGTTTCAGAGAATCTGATATGTTTAGTGGGTCGCTCCCCTGAGTTGTCGGATTGGCGCCTTGAGTACTTATCACGGGCTCACATAGTTAAAATTAACCATAAGGAGTTTTACAGAAAGTTTATGAGATCTCTTTCAGAAAGCTTTACAGAAATGTTTTGAGAAAGTACTACTTTTGAGATCTCTTTCAGAATCTATTTTTTAATCATATTACAACGGAGGAAGTATTTAATATTACTTCCTTCTAGCTTTTCTATTATTTAAAAAGTTTTCAAAAACTCAAGTTTTATGTTTGGTAGAATAATTTTTTAGAGCTTTTTATAAAATAAAAGATCTTTTTTGAGATGCTACAATAGCTGAAAAGATACTTTTATGAGCTTTTTAGTACTCTCTTCGTTCCTATTATAACTTCCAACTTTCCTTTTTCGTCCGTTCCAATTAAAACTTCCACTTTCCCTTAGCTTTTTGGTAGAGAATTTGTGGTTTACAATATTTCTTACACATTTCTCTCTCCTTTACACAACTCTCCACCACACAATACCCATAACTCACTATCTTAAATTGTGTGTCAAACCTATTTGGAAGTTATAATAGGAACGAAGGTAGTAATTGTTAGCTTTTAGTTACTAAAGATCTTTAAAAAAAAGGTAGTACTCCCTCCGTTCCTATTATAACTTCCAACTTTCCTTTTTCGTCCGTTCCAATTAAAACTTCTACTTTCCCTTTTTGGTAAAGAATTTGTGGTTCGCAACATTTCTTACACATTTCTCTCTCCTCTGCACAACTCTCCACCACACAATACACATTGTCTTAAATTGTGTGCCAAACCTATTTGGAAGTTATAATAGGAGCGGAGGTAGTAGTTGTTTGATAAAAAGCGGACTATTTGATTTAGCTTTATTTGGTATACAAGCTGTTAGGACTAATTAATGCTAGAAGCCACGGACTTATCTGGGATGCTACTCACTGTAGCATTTCAATAAAGATCTTTTGTTTTTATAAACGCTCTTAAAAATTGGCATGTCAAACATATAATTAGAAGTTTTTAAAGACTTTTTAAATAATACAAAAGCTAGAAGGCAAAGACTTATGCCTGCCAAACATAGCCAATAGGTAGCATGTGGGAGAAAGTCAGTAGCTTTTAGCTTTAGGGTATGTTTGGCACAACTAGCTCAAGAGATACTTTTGTGAGCTTTTTAATAACGCTATCTTTTAGTGACTGAACAGATCTTAAAGAGAGAGTGGTAGTTGATTGGTAAAAAGCTGACTGTTTGATTTAGTTCGGTTTAGAATACAAGTTGTTAGGACTAATTAATACTAAAAGTCACTGGCTTTTTCTGATGCTACTCCCTGTAGCATCTCAAAAAAGATCTTTTAATTTTTTAATAACTCTTAAAAATTGTCATGCCAAACATACAACTAGAAACTTTTAGAGACTTTTTGAACAGTACAAAAGCTAGAAGGTAGAGACTTATGCCTGCCAAATTGAACTTAATAAAACAATCAACTTTTTATCAAACAGCTAATACCCTTTTATTTTAAGATCTTTTCAGTCACTAAAAGCTAACTGTTATTAAAAGGCCATAAAAGTATCTTTTCAACTAATTGTGTCAAACATACACATAGAAGATATACGGAGTACGCCTAGTGGGAGGTCTCGAGTTCGAAACCCGCTAGCCACATAAGGATTTGAAACTTAATGGAGTGAGTTTCAGTTCTGATTACTTCAGGTCCCCCAGCCCCCCTCCCCAATACCCGGAGTAAAAAAAGATATACGGAGTACTTTTACGGTCCTATAGTCCTATCCTTTGTAAAGAACTGACTGATTTAATATATTCAAATTAAACACTCCGACAGGTTTAAAAAATATGAATTCCAAATGAAAACCATGTACTATCTATCCTTCATTCTTTAATAGTTGCAACAATTTGAATTTCACGTTTGTCAACACATAACTTTGACTGTAGTTATATTTAATTATGTATTAGTAAACATTATAAAAAGTTAATATTTTGAGAATTCACATTAACAGAACTTTAATAACATTTTATATATAATAATTCGATTATATATTAGTAAAAAATCATGATCAAAGTAAGATGTATGAATAGTGCAAAAAAGTCAACCTTGGGACTATTAAAGAATGGAGGAAGTATAAGTCATAACACGTTTTAGGAAAGTAAGATTTTTCTCCAAAAATGCAGTTGGAATACAAAGAAATGCATCAGAATCGGTTCACTACATCACAAAGCGCAGCCAAAACAGAGGGTGCATGCATAGTTTTACACCTTTTGACTGTATGATCCTAAATAAATAAAAGAACATGATAAAAAAATGGTAAGGGAAGTGAACTGCAACAGCTAGTATGATCACTATAAAGGGAAAAAAACATGGAGAAGGGGTCGGGGAATAATGCAGATTGAGATTGATGGTGGTGATGGAGGGTTTAGAATGCTCGAGCTTTAATGGTGTCGAGGCTCATTTCGCTAGGATCAGTGGCCTGCAATTCAACTTGAATCCCATCTAATTCTCTCTTGAATCTGTCTTTTGAGCTTGCATACACCATCTTCATCCTCACCCTTGATGATTCCGGTGACCTGAATATATTTGCAACCATAAAAGGGTAGTTACTCCTTTAAAAAGTATTTTAAATGGGATCAATATATTAAATACGTAGTACGAGAAAGAGATCCAATTCAGCTGATCCTCGACTCACTCTCCCGTGCGGGAGGTCTCGATTCGAAATTGTGTAAGGAGAGTTTCAAGCTTGTTTACCCCAGCCCCCAGCTCCCTTCCCTGACCCCGAAGTAAAAAAGATAGGTAGTACTATGTATGTTTTTAGTCTTGTAAATACAATGTTTCTTGTTTTACATTCATGGAATTTTTTATTTTTAGTTTTCATCCTTATAATTTAGAGAGAATTCCTTAAATAGGAGTAAAAAAGTTTTGAAATTCCAAAATAGGAGTATCATGTTTTTTATTCCTTGAATAGGAGTAAATTTCTGCCAAGTTTGGCATTACTAGACTTTAAAACATGACATTTTTTCCAAACTTAGCAGAATACTCCTATTCAGGGAACAAAAAACATGATACTCCTATTTTGGAATTTCAAAACGTTTTTGCTCCTATTTAGAAAATGAAAAAGTAGAAAAGAGAAAGGGGTAATGGTAATAAAAGTGGGGGTATAAAGGTATTTTGATTGAAAAAACATACCAAAAAGGGAAAGAATGACAAATAATTAAAAACGTCCCAAAAAGGAATGTGAGACAGTTAATAAAGAACGGAGAGAGTATTATAAGTATTCTCTTATACAAATATATCATTCGTTAAAGCTAAAAACATCGACCAAGAAAGTAAAAATGAAGAAATTTTGTCAGACTAGAGCAGGAAACAAAAAACTAACCTATAACATTAACCTTTGATCGAGAATGGAACAAGTCTTAATATCCAACATTTATAAAGCTTAATATACATATTAAGACAATGTGTAAGTACTACTATTAATGTCCAACCCTTGTTAAGATTTCTTATTCCTTCATACGTAGGGAATTTAGGACACATTCACAACCATGAAGACGAACCACTTGTACGGAGTGTTCAACATTTTCTTCAGAAAATTGTTCGGTGTGTAGACCTTTGGCACACATTTTCTGTGTTTCAATATGAATTGTCTGTGTCAAAAGTGTACACAAAAAGGTGTATGCCAAACATTTCCGTATAGACACATTACTCAAAAACTAACGTGCAATTTAAGTTTCTACCAATCACATCATAGCTACAGATCGAAACCTTTGCTTGAGGATAAATTTGAGTCTTAACTAAATCCAATAAACACTGGATAGATGAGAAAATACAAGGATTGACCCATGTTTATTGATCTGATCATGTGAGACAGTGTGTTAGCGGGAGAATTTATTACAATTTAAACCATAATAATGTCAACCGTTTTTTGTGTACAAGTCTTCTTTAAAACGAAATACTTATGTACACAGACAAAACGATGCATGGCGTGTAACAAAAAACAGCTTATAAGGAGTGAGGAAGAAGGAGTAGGTACCAGGCGATGAAGAAAATCTTGCTTTTCTGGACATTCTCATCGGTGGTGAAGTCGAAATCAAAGACGGCGTAACGGCATTCCTCAGGAGGGAGAGAGTTGGTGAAATCTTCATAGCTTTCATCAGGTCTCCCCAGCTTTTCAACCACAACCTGTTGACCTTCGATCTTAAACAGAATGTACCTATGATTTCTCTTCGATTTTAACTCCAAAAACTTCAGCTTACAGTCGTCGTCCACCTGCATTCCAGACACTGCATTTGCCTGCATTTCACACCCATTCATTTATTCGCAGATTGATTATCTAATTGTCAATTATACATGTATAATACTGGCGATATAAGAACAATAATTCAAATTGATCATCATTAAAATGAAATGATAGCTTGCGGGTGTGGAGGACGAGATCTATATTCTGTACCATGTTGACGATTAGCAATCGAAGACAATCACGCTGCGTTTCTGGGAGAGGAAACAAACCTAACAGAGAAATTATTTATTAGATGATGAGAGGAAAATGGAAATGTGGATGAAAATCAGGAAGAACAAGAGAGGTGGTCCTTGAATCTGTTAGGAAATGAGGCATATACATTATGAATCATTTTGTTGCCTTTTCAAATAATTATTATAAACCAAAGAGAGATGTGCGGGAAATGAGAAAATTCCTCAAGGGCTGAGAATTTGCACTCACTAGTTTTATTCTTCTTTACTCCGTATAAACCAAGGTATGGTTCATATATCTTGAGAATGATCATATATTCTAACAAGAATTTGAATCAAATCACAACACGACAAAACATAAATGAATTGGGTCTATTAGATTTGGGAATTGTACATTATATGAAATGTAAATATGCACTACAATGAATCAGAACATGTAGTGTCATTTTTGTAAATAAATTGAACTTTTTTTCTACTTTCAAGTGTGCATTATCTTAATCATAAATGTACGTCATGAACCGGAGTGTGCGTTGTTTCTGAGCATTTTCATTTTTCACGAGAATAATCGTTCTCACCCTGCGTGGACCCTATCTAACATATCATAAGAACAATCACAGGGAGTGTCACATAAGAAACAAATTATTTGTACATGAAACTTGTACACATTTGGCATCGTGATCATAATTTTCTGTGCACGAAAATGTGTACTTCCCTAATTGCATGTGTACACAGGCAGCCCGTGCAGCATTGTCTGTGTGTACAGATAATTACATACAAATGTGTGAGAAATGAGTGCAACTTTTGTGTACAAGCAGAATTGTTGGTCACATAATTATGGTTTATAGGATCTTCATGGCATATCCACGCCATAATTCTTATACTTTTTCTTTTTGGATTGACTTTCTAATCAAGAGCAAGAATAAGTGAGGAAGCAAAACTAAATGGATTGCATATTAATCCTTATATAATTCTTCCACTATTCAAATTCAATTGTTTCTTAGATTATTTTTTTGGGATTTGATCGTTTTGGATTTAAAAAATATGAAACTGAGAGTTGAATTGGGTAGCTTAAATTTGTTTCGATTGAATTTGGTTTAGTTATTTTGAAGGTTTTGTGTTTATTTTTGGTCGGGATTGAAAGCATAAACTTTAAACCATAAGTAAAATCGCTTAAAATGTGTTTTGCTTAGTTTTGTTTTAATTGGTTCTGTTTCAATCTGTTCATCAGACTATTCAGACACTTAATATTTGTCCAATTTTTGTCCGGTCCTCGACCTAAATAAAGTGTTGTTTATATCATGAACTGTTAGGAATCGATTACCCACACGGGTAGCTCAGTTAGTCGAGTGGTGGGAGATTTGGAACAATGGACCAAGGTTTGAATCCCCGCAGCGACCGGGTGGAGGTCACAGAATCTGAAATAAGGTTGAACCTCTGGTGCGCACGGGTGTATGAGCCACACCCTACTGACATTCTGCTGACTGAGTCACCGTGACTAACCTCTCCACCATCCTGTCGGGTCGGGGTGGGGGCTCCTGAGGTGGGAGATTCCACCTTTTTAGGAACAAGGAATCGATTCCGTCTCCGGCTCAAGTCTCCAGCCCAAATAAAGTTTTGTTTTAACTTGTAACTGTTTTAAGGTTTATACCTGTCACATAACTTACTACATATTACATAAGGCAACTATTTTCTTAAACAATAAGTGGCATTTATCTTTCACGAATTTAGATGCAGCAAGGAGTAGGAAGTTATGCCGTCATTATCAGTTACAAACTCATGCGACAACGGACAACCAAGGTCCAATGGTGTTTGCGGTGGATATCCAGTCAATGGCTAAAGGTGGAAGTTTGACAGAAATTGTAGTACGCCAACACCCAAAGATGGAAGTTCATAACAGCATCTGAAATTTGCCCAATGGCCACAAGAATGGCAGCGGATGGTGGAGGCATGAGTGCATGACAACATTGGATGGCAGTCAATCAGTGGAAAATGTCCAATGACTACTTGGATAGTTGGATGGCCATGTGTGAAGTTAGCCATGGACCTATAATCCTATATGGTTCCGACTTCTGAACCGAGCTGGTAAAAGACGTGACAGAGATGTTGAAAGGGTTCCAAAGTCCAAACTAGAAGTAGTGCCCGGAGTCAGTCTAACCCTACTCACCTAGACACCCAGTCTGGTTCCTCCAAAATCAGAATGGGCTGTTTTTTACTACATTTTTCTCAATGTAGGCTAAACAACTCATCCAAAACTTAAAATTTTAAACCAAAACTCGACTAGTACTCGGATTTACCAGTCCTGATTACAGGCAGAGCACTCTCCGGACCCGAAACCAAAAACCATAACACAACCATAATGGAATGTTTTCGCATGTGTGTTCACAATAGCCATATTGAATTACAACAGAACGGAATATTTTGGCTGTGTCTAGTCCAACAGCTGTATATTTTGGATAATTGTCTGGAGATCAAAACAAGTGCCACCTGAAAGAATGAAAGGGTACAAAGTATACCAACATAGAACCAGGCTAGTAACAGCCCCACAGATTAAGAGAAGAAATAATATTTCAAAATTGGAAGTTGGGAGGATATTACACTCATATTTTTCAGTCACCAATGATTCAATATTTCAACCTACAAAATTGACAACTTTAGGTCCCTGGTGTTTCTTTTTCAATTTGGCAATGTTGTCTTCCTTGGATTCGCCTACCATGAAGTCATCATCCAGATCATCTCCACTGGTTAATTTTGTGACTTGCCCTGTAGGTATATCTTCTATTTTAACTGTGCAAGAAGGGTAAGTAAAAAATGATCAGAACAGCATTTGAGAAATCAAGTAAAAAGGATAAAGATAGTTATACGAATTCCATGTGTGGTTACAACTCCAAAGTCAACAATCTTAAGTGAATAAAGTCAATAGATCATGCATAAATGCATAGAACAGGGATAGTGAATTGTCAAACTCCAACCAACGATGCAATTATTACATTTATTTATCCGAATAGCGTATTTTAATTCATTGAATTAATTGAAAATGGATCAATACAATACGCCCTAGAAATGATGTCCAAAATATCAAAGGCTGCCAAGTGCTAACCATGAATAACATCTATAATTGAAAAATAAAATTATAGACAAACCAATGCCGTACAGTCCTAACAATATTCAACTAAGGAAAAGCTGGCAGCCTGGCATTTAGTTGTTTTCATGAAATAGTGTCACAGAAGAAGAAAACGCCTAACAAATTAAAAAACTGGAAGCACATGGATAAGGTACTATATTGCTTACATCTTTTATTCGAACCATGGGTTGCATTGGAAGTTGTGCTACTCTTGTTGGGACAATCTTTGGCCAGATGTGTAATACCACCACAAGTGTTGCAACTACCACCCTGTAAATTATAAGTTTGTAAGAGGTAAAAAATTGCGCCTATACAGGTCAGGCAACTCTAGGAGTTGATAATCTCCATCTCATTTAATCCGCTTTCCCATAGAGGCTATGGATGTGTACCTTCCAGTAGATCCCATGAGCATTTTTAGGGCAATCCTTGCTCAAGTGCCCGCGCTCTTTGCAAATAAAGCAGCTGGCATACTTTGTTCCACCTGTATTAAGTGGAAATAAATAATCATTAATCAACCCATAGAACCAACTTATAAGTTAATGATACTCCTCTAAATTTATATGAGCCATATCCGTGAATTTAGCTTCACCCATTCACCAATATAATTTAAAAATGACAATAACAACCCTTAGACCGCCTCCCCACCCTCAGAAAAAACTCCCTTTACCCCGAAAAAGGGAGTCATGTTTTCATCACATATTTGTCCCAATTTTTCCATGTAATTTACCGATAAAATATCAAACAAGAGTCACAAACGACTTATATACTACCCTCCCGAAAAACAAGGTCTGTGTTGATTTGTGATGATTGATCAATGGAGTAGCATTAGTAATTAAAACATACTTATTTAAAAACTACACTAACTGTTCAACTGAACTGCAAAAAGTCAAAAACCGAATTTGAATTTGATGAAACTTTGATACACAATATCATAGATTAATACAGTTAAGATGACTGCAAAAATATCAAACACAAACACAATTTTGGGAGGGAGGTATGAATGTATAATAATGCATTTTGTTAAAAGTTAAAACATAGCATTTTTTGTAAAGTCATATAAATTATAAGTGTTGCATGAATTATGAAATTATGAGGTTGTAAATTATAAGAATCAAAGAGCTGCACACTTTTCAGATAGGACACTTTTGGGAACGGATATAAGACGCTTTCACACTTTCCATGATTGATCAATGGAGTAGCATTAGTAATTAAACCATACTTATTTAAAAACTACACTAACTGTTCAACTGAACTGCAAAAAGTCAAAAACCGAATTTGAATTTGATGAAACTTTGATACACAATATCATAGATTAATACAGTTAAGATGACTGCAAAAATATCAAACACAAACACAATTTTGGGAGGGAGGTATGAATGTATAATAATGCATTTTGTTAAAAGTTAAAACATAGCATTTTTTGTAAAGTTCTATAAATTATAAGTGTTGCATGAATTATGAAATTATGAGGTTGTAAATTATAAGAATCAAAGAGCTGCACACTTTTCAGATAGGACACTTTTGGGAACGGATATAAGACTCTTTCACACTCTACTACTCTACTAGGCAATTAAAGCTAAAAGAGTGAACACTAATATGATACATTAAACAATCATAAATTGCACAGCTAAAGAATACAAACATGCGAATGTACCATATCATTTGATGCAAGTTTTAAAAAAAAAGCACCCAGAAAGTTGTTCAAATAATACTACTGGTAAAAGATTTTAAGGGCACGCAGAAACCATAAATACATTGTATAAATAATTAAGCACAGATAACAAGCTGTTTTACCTTCCTGCAATGGTTCAGAACACCTTTCCAAAGAATGCCCAGTTTTGCCACAATTATAACACAATTTCTTATCCATAGCGTCATCACTTTTGTTAGGACAGTTCTTGAGACTGTGGCCACGTCTCCTACATAACAAGCATATCTGCAACATGAGGTAGTTTAAGGAAAAAAAAGCTCATTGGTACAGAAAACATGGAGGGCAATATAAAGAAGATCTTTACGAAAAGTTTGAATTAGGAAAGCATACCTTGTTTCTCTCCCATGAAGCCTTTTCGGGGCAATCTTTTGCTATGTGGTCAATACCTCTACAAATGAAGCAGCTTTCACCAGGTTTCATTCCGGGGACTCTAAGGGGATGCTTTTTATCTCTTGACCTGTTCTGGTTCGATGCGTCTTCTGAGTCAGGTCTTTTGCGCTTTAATTTGTTCCCTTTCTTCTTCTTCTTCTTATCCGGGTTTGAGGGTGTTGGTTCTGGATCAGGGAAAAGCTCCGGATGAGCTTC